TATGAGAAAAATGAAAATAATTTCCATTTTGGAATATTAACTATTTTTAAAAATGAATCCATCGAGGAGGTGACTGGTGGGGTGCTGTTGTTTTAAAGAGGTTTTAAACTTTCAAAACAACTACTGTTATGACTTATCATTAGTTATTGAACATTATTTTGTAGTTTAATGTTTAATGGCGACATCCTCACATTTGTGGAGTTTGTGACCTCCGTCACAACACCAAACCATCCATAGTCTGGTGTACAAAATGTGGTGAGGGACTCTGTACAGAATGCCAGGAACATCATAGTTTGTCTAAGTCATCGAGAAGACATAATGTGATACCTATTATTGAATACCAGAAATTATCAACTGATGTACTGAAAATTACTCAGTATTGTAGCAAACACGATGAAAAGTTTATAATTTATTGCAAGAAGCATGAATGTCCCTGCCGCAGCAAGTGCATAGCGGAAAGCCATACAGAATGCCGGGATATCGTAAATTTAGATGACGTTATTCATAATGTCAAAACCTCAATGCCATGTGCGAGAAAGAGGAAACATTAGTTGAAGTAGCAGAATATCTACAAAAAATTCGCCACCACATGCACATACAGGACAATCGGTCGACTTTGAAAAAAAGAGAATGGAAATAGAAAAAAAAAATAAAGAAGTCCCGAATAAAAATTAACAACCATCTCGACAAACTACAAGAAGATTTGATGAAACAACTCTATGAGATCGAAGAAAAAGAAAACTCGAAAATTTGTCAGTTATTGTCATCATTAGAGATCAAAGGAAAAGAAATAACAGAATGCCAAGGAAACATTTCGAACATCAAGCAATATGCAACAAACCATCAGTTGTTTCTTTCAATGAAGCAGATAGACGAAGAGGTCAAAGATAAGTTTCGGCACTCGCTTGTAGAAACGAGGGGCAATTTTCTCTTTCATATAAGATCAACACAGCTATAAAGAAGATCATGTCCGATATAAATAGTTTTGGAGAAGTACATATTGAAGCTGAACGATATTGTTCTTATCAAGAAAAAGGTAAAACAAACCCAAATGATGATACAATCAAGGTCCATTGAAAATATAAAGCTAACGTTACGCAAGACCATTGACACTAAAGGACAATGCATTCACGGATGTTGCATGCTGCCGGATGGTAGAATGGCGTTTACTTTCAACTTCAAACAGACAATAAAACTATTCAGCGATAAAGGATTAAACGACTTTGAGGTGGAGATGCCCGTTGGTGCGTTTGATATAGTATATATCCGTGTGGACAATTCATTGGCGGTTCATATGAACAGTGTATTACCATTATAGACTTGGAGAGGAAACAAATCAAGAAAACAATTTCACTTGATTCGTGCAATTATGGCATAGCACTGAATGATAATCGATTGATTTATTCCGGTAAAGACAAAGGTATACAAATGATCAATCCGTACGACGAGTCTATAAGTGACATAGTTCGAGACATAATGCCCAATGACTGTTACATTGCAACATTTAGGGACAAACTATATCATACAAACAAAGAAACAAACACAGTTACGTGTTATAATCTACAAGGTAAACTTCAATGGACATACAAAAATCAAAGCGTTCTGAAGTATTCTCGGGGTATTGATGTAGATAATGATGGTAATGTGTACGTGGTGGGGAGCGATTCACACAACATTATAGTTATCTCCCCTGATGGAAAACGCCATAGAGAAATATTGACAGCAAGTGATGGTCTAAGTGACCCCATGTCACTTCATTATAGTCGTTCAAAGAATCAGTTGCTAGTCGCGAACTGGAATTACAAGGCTCATTTGTTTAGTTTTATTTGAAAAGTTTACAGTTTAAATTACTCTCTTTTTTATCATTCTGTGAGATGTTTAATATATAATAAGTTAACTGGATCAATGAAACCTAGTTTGTTTTTAAATTTATCAGTTATATATTATAAAGTGTTTGTTTGAAGAAAATGTGGGAATTTAATTTAATAAACTAGCAAAGCAATAACCCATAACGCAGGTTCTTATTTGTACAGAATATACTTAATATTTTGAAATAAAATATTATAATATATGATTGGTTTGATTTATTTATGCTAGAAATTTCAGTAAAGTGTACAAAAATAAATATGACGTTATCGGCATTAGCGGAATTTAATATTGATATTATCAAAAGTTCAAGATCGAAAAGATCAGTCAATGGCCGGAAATTTCTTTGAAATATAGTTATATATGCAAAATCTTCAAGGTATACTTTTTTGTTCTTTTATTGTTATTGTAATTAGTTTAATGGAATGGGAACAACAGTATTCATAGGAAATAATAAATTTTCTTAATCTCCAATTCGAGATTCCATAGAAATCCTGACATCAAATACACGCATCAAAATTTATTCACACAGAAGCCAGTTATTCAATGATGTTATAACGTGATGTTTTTGAAAAAAATACACGCCTAACATTTTATATCGCAGCAACCTAACGACAAAAATATTCGAGAGACATTCACATGTATAATTACGGTCTTCAATAATAGACAGATGTTTATAATTACATCAAGCACTAAATCATCCCGCTTGATTAGAAAACGAAACTTATGAAATTATTCGACATAGACTGCCAATGACCTATCATCAATATCAAAGCCTCCTATTGATAAAAACCTTCAAATACGTCATTAGACATTCACTGACGAGATTCTTTGTTAGAGACAGGTGCAGTTTATATTTTAAATCGAACAGAATTGACTGGCGCTTCTCACATATTCATAGTAGGCCAAGGTTTGATGAGTATCCCTTATTCTAAAGGAGTTAGGTGTAGTACATGTAACCCATAATAACAACAACGCATAATGATATACTGAGGACACCTGCATATAGGATTTATTTATCAGGACCATATATTACTGTTGTAATTTTCTGAAGATTAAATATGTTTTTTCTTTGTTCGAGAGATCAACTTTTGAGGACTATTATTTTTTGCTGTTTTAAATTTTTATATTTTCTATTAATTTGGCTTTGCTTAAACATACATTATGGTACAGCATTGTGGTCATTAACAAATAATTCTATTCAAATAAAGTCGTTTGCAAGACCAAAGAAGAATGGACACGTATTTTATATAACTACACATATTTTTGTTACAGATTTAAATTATTGTTTTGTTGATGAAAAATGAAAGAAGTCAAACAAATATTAAAGATATAGTATACAATTAATATTCATATATCAAGTTGTACTACTGCATGATTTGACGGATCCTGGAGGTGTTGGGGGGTTTGATCCCCCACCCCCCATTTTCGATTTGTTTATGTATATTTTTTTTTATATAATTATGTGAACGTTCCACGGTGTTCAGGGGGTTGAGAACCCCTTTTTAAAAATGTCTGGAACCACGCTCGACCTGATCATGTACAACATTTGAAGTGAAGTTCTCTTTCTAGTATTATGGGAAATGGCTAGGCGACACATCGGTGTCACATGATCGACAAGATAACGATGGTAAGACAATACAAGTATTTCTTTTAATATAAAATTGGTTAGATGTACAAGATAAAGTTAATAAGATACACTAGATAACGTTGAGTAGATACACTAAATAGAGTTGATTAGAAACACTAGATATAGATTCTTTCATTTGTCAAATGGATAAGGGATATATATATATATATTTCTTCATTATTTAATTTAGTAGTTACGAATAATTACGAAGACGATTGGTTTTTTTAATACATAAAAATAGTGCCAATTACTTGAAATTGCATGTAAAACAAAGACCCCACTTAACCATTCGAGAAGCTATCAAAGGTCATCTATTAGATGTTGTTCAATTTTAATAAAGAGGCTGTCCAAAGCATTTCCAACAATTGTATGCAATACACTACCTTTATTTGCCAATATTAAAGAAAAACAGCCATAAGAAGTTGACACAATTTGGAAAAATTATCAGTGGTTGAAAAAAAAAGCAACAATTAAAAGCCTTGCAACAAGTGTAAACTGTTGGTCATTAAAGGGTGCGCATTTGAGACCTATAAAATATATGATACTAGTTATTTTGAAAACCAGTGGTGCTAACAGAGCATTGACGCAAATGAATTGATCTAAATGACGCAATTTTAGCACAAACTTATATCTCTAAGTTAATTAATAGCATTAATAGCACGAAGTATCTAAAATGTAAAGGTCATCAACTCAAGAATTGAAGTATCGCCGCAAGTTTAATTTTTTATTTGGTAAATTTTGTTAGTCTTCCAATTGGTTATAGTTTCTGACTGTTTTATCAACAATATTACAGTTAAAAATTGGATTTCTAAGTTATAAAAACTTATCATAGCATAATTATATAAAAAAGCCAAGTGAAAAGTGTTGAAGTCTTTGGTTACATGTAGTTAACGGATTAATAATGTGTGTTATATGCAGGCTTCGAAATGAATATGCGACTTAAATAGCAAAACCCATACCGTATTGTAAGATATACGGTAAAAGACCTCGGAATGACAAAAGGTTATACAATGTACTAGTAAATAAAAAATAAAAAAAACAACGGTCTGATTTCCTTATAATGATTAGTTAAAAGGTTCCTGACTTGGGACAGTCATATTAGGACTGCGGCGGGGTTTAACATGTTTGTAAGTGCTCAAATTTCCCATTGCCTAAGACAGTGTTATAGCAGTACAACACAAGAACTAACTATAAAACCAGTTGGTCAATGGAAAAGGCTCCACTCACCAGACCGGTACTTAAAACAAACAAAACCCTCACGAAAATAAATAAAAGCCAAGGTTCCGTAGTTTCTTAAAGCGAGATCAAAGCCAGTTCAAACTAATATTAAACCATGCTTTCCCACACTGAAGTACCAGTTATATCAATTCAAGGCAAGGTGTGTTATCATTTTAAATAAACAAGAGATGTTCATACTATTTTTCTCTATTGCGACCATCAAAACATTTGTTTTGCAGAAATGTATTACCATAAATGACTTCGAACTAACAAAGAGTTTTTAATACAGTCACGTGGTAAATAAGTATCACCTTCTCAGTAAACAAGACGGGAATTAATATTACAGTTTAAAAGGTAATTTTAGATTTAACAGATATTTTCATGTTAAACTCTTCCTCAAATATGTTTTCCATTTTTTTAAATATAAGTATGAACTAAGCAAATAAAATTTGTAAAAGAATATTATGTCAACTTTCGTTCTTGGCTAATACATGATATATTAATGACCATTAATGTTATGTCCCAATTCTAGCTATTGTTTTCGTTTATAATGACTGTGTTATATACACAGATTTGTATAGTACCATATCAATCCTTGAAACTACAAAATGTATATCTGTACTCGTTCATGGGCATATTAATTTTATGTCGCAGATGCGGATCCAGGATTTTGAAAAAAAAGGGGGGAGGGGGCAAACTAGGTAAAGTTTGGAGTGGAACAGGTAAACAGACTGAATTAACCATAAGTGTAGCTTCATAAGGGGCGCCCGGCTTCCTCAATCCGCCTCTGGGTCGGGAAACGAAACTGTATTTGATATATGTATCCTGCTCTCAGAAAAAAGGTAAAAGGAGGCACAGAAATATCCAAAAAATACCACTAAAACACAAAAAAGAAGTAAGAGTAACCATTTAACATAGCATATATACTGTAAAAAAAAATTGTTTAATTAATTGTTATGAATAGTTTCAAAATAATAACAAGAACTGTTACCCTCGAATTTTAATTGTGTACAAATATAACATGTAGGACAAGTACCCAATAACCGAACCGGTTTGAATGCATTCTCCTTTCCGTTTAAAGGACAAGCAATTGTATTCAATGTGTTAAATGTTTCAATTGATTAATCTTTTTGTCCACTTTACAAAGATATTTAAGAAATATCGTTGTCTTACTAAATTGTGCTGTGACATGCTTTTAAGTTAACACTAGATATATCAACATTATCCAACTTGTACTAGAACTGAGGATTCTCGTTCGTAAATCTTAACTCAGTACTCGGAGTACTCGGAGTAAAAAATTGTGCAGGAAAACGGTGACTAGCAGACGATCAGAAGGTTTTATAGTTGGTTATGCGCAAAATTCGAACAACATGACAGAAATTAAAGAAACAGATTGTAAATAAGTCCTGTGGTTTCAAATTAGCGTGAAAATTTTTAATTCAGATAATCCGGAAACAGATGAAGCGATTAATGGGATTGAACTAGAATACATACGCTTTACAAATTATTCAAATTATATATGCCTTTTAGGCGACTTTTATGCCAGGACAGGTTGTGATGATGATTTTGTAATTATAGGTGACAATGAATATGGTGATAATAATTTTCCCGTTAAAGCCTTAGGAGCTCTGTATATCCCCTCAAATCGTGTAAATATGGATAAGGTAAAAATTGATATGGAAATATGTAAAGTTAACGGTGGTTTCATACTTTTATAAATAGAAGAATGGGAAGGGATAAAAATATTGGGCGATTTACTTGTCGTAATGCCAGTGTCCAATATTGTTTGACCATCAGTCCTAGACTTCTGAAATCGTTCAAGAACTTTGAAGTTTTAGATTCAAGCAATTGTTTATTAGATGTTCATAACCCACTCTCTATTACTTTTTATTATGATAAAAACTTGGTATTTGACCATGCAGAAAATGTTGACTGTTATAGTCCTATTAATTCTTTAAAGCAAATAAATTAATTGAATTGTGAAAAGATGGAATGATTTTCAGAATAATATTGATGTAGAAAAAATAGTAGAATTAGAATGCAAACTTAAAAATACTGATTTAAATGATGTTAATAAAAATGAACTGAATTAGATTATAGATGATTTATGTTATATTTTTGTCAGGCCTGGACAGACAACTTTCGTTATTTTTACCATAAAACAGAATAAAAAAAGGACATTGTTGAAATAAAACCATGGTTTGATGTGGAATGTCAAAATTACAGAAAATTAAAGAGACGTTTTAAGTCGAAAAATAATTGTCAAAAATCATTCAGACATGTATAACAAAAACTTTAGAAATGATCTCGCAAACAAAATTTAAATTTACATTTTAACGCTGCATCGGAAGATGACCAAGACATTTTTTTCCCGACAGTGATAACATGCAACGTGAGCAGTATCGAACATATAAATTTGCCCTTTTCACAAGATGAAATTATTCAGTACATTAAGACACTGAAAAATGACAAAGCTTGTAATGAAGACGAAATTATAAATGAATACATTAATTATAGACCAATCACTATTGTTAGTTGCTTGAAAAAATTGTTTACTGCAACTTACATAAATGACTTAATGATTTCCACAGTCTAATTTATTATTATACAAGAAACCAATATGGTTTTCGGCAAAATTATTCTACTACAAATACTATGTTTACCTTATATTCTTTTTTATTTATTTATTCAAATTTACGAAAAAGAAATTATATGGTGCCTTTATAGATTTTAAGAAGGCATTTTAATTCTCAATCTTATTTGACACTGTATGGCAACATGGTTAGTTTTATAAAATGTTATTGGATAATATAAATGGTAAGATGCATAAGGTACTATTGAATATGTATAGTGCTATCAAATCTCGTATATCATATAATAATTTTAATTCGGAGTACTTTCCTTGTGACAATGGTGTACGACAAGAGAAAACGTATCACCTTTCCTATTTTCTTTATTTTTGAACGACTTAGAAAATTTCTTAGTCAGTAAAAATATAGCAGGACTTAAAACTAAAGCAGAAGATCTGGAAAGAAAATAAAAATATATCTTATTATTTTATGCAGTTGGCAACTCAATGCCTTCAATGATTATTGTAAGGCTAGGAAATTGAAAGTAAACGTTGACAAAACCAAACCATCACTATTTGGTTTTGAACGTTTGCCAAACACTCTCCGATTTTCTTACAATGCCTCTGACAACTGTTCTCTACAACAAAAATTAACTTTATAAATATCAATGTACACATTGTTAATCACTTGTTGTCTTTTTAATTTCACCATTCAAGTTATCTACAAATTCAAAAAAATAAATTTTCTTGCGTTACTATAATTTGGATATTTCTAATCACATACTCCGCGCATGCAACAGTTCTGACACTGTATATCAGAAGAAGAACATTGAGATAGTAAAGCAGTTTAACTATTTGGGGATTCTTCTTACTAAAACAGGTAATTTTAATATGAATAAAAACACATTTATCAGATAACGCCTTAAAAGACATGTACGAAGTCGTGAAACCAGGAAGGATGTATCAGTTTTTTTGTAAAATGTGAGCATGATCTTTTTTTATGTTGCAAAGTATGTGGTTTTAGTAATAATGATATATGTTTATAAGAATAGATACATTTAAAATTCTGTAAATTGCTGCCAAATCTGAAATCCTCAACACCAAATTACATGGTTTACGGGGAACCATCCGGTTGACATTAGATGTAAAAGTTCGAGCAGTTAAGTTTGGGCAAATTTGGTATCCGGCAAACAAGCAAATTTTTCCTTTATTTTATACGAACTTTCTCGCTATATGAACGGTCACCATAACATGCAGACTAAATGGATTCTGTTTGTTAATAAAAGTGTGGTTTCGAATATATATATATTGGGAAAACAAAATTTCCTAAATAAAGATTGGTTAAAAGCTGTAACAAAGCAAAGATTTTTAGACCAGTTTCTATAGAATTGGAATTCGCTTATCCAAAATTCGTCAAAAGGTATTAACTACAAATGGTTTAAGAAAAACTGTGAAGTAGAGAAATAGCTTAATATTTTGGACTTTAAAGATGCTATTGCTCTCTGTTGATTTCGAAACAATAATAACATATTGCCGATTGAAATAGGAAGGTGACAAAACGTATCAAGAGTTACTGTTTTTGCCTCTAATGTAACAATCGGCAAATTGGAGACGAGAATCATTATCTATTCGAATGTATTTTTTTTTCAAAAACGTAAAGAGTATTTAACTCCATATTTTTCAAATGTCATAACACAGATAAAAATCTCTGAACTAATGTTGAGTACACGAAAAACAAGTCCCGAAGAAGCATTGTTTTTCATAAAAAAAAATACTTGTGTTTGTCCTTCTGGCTAGTGAATTTTGTAACCTCTGTCCCTTGTTTTTTTTGTATATGTTGTAAATAGTTATTGTTGGTGTTATCTCAGTACTGATGTTATGCATTGTGAATTGGCTTTATGAGAATAAAGATATATAACTTAGTTGATTCGAAATTTGATTTGGGGGTAAGGAATGATTGATTCAGCTACAGAACCAAAATTTTTTCCTGGATCATTGACCTTAGATTCTTCAAAAGGAACACTTGTTATTGTTTCCCAGATATGATCTCTATGTTTCATCTCGTAGAGACATAACTTTGGAATGTTACCAGTATAAATACACATATTCCATTCTCAATTTTACATGAATAGCGGTGAAATTGAATTCTGAGTAGGACCCAAAGTGAAGGGAGAGATATTACAGAATTTGAGTATAAGTTTAAACTCTAAGAAGTTAAGTTAGTTTCTATAAATGTTGAAAATATGCCGCACAGCCCTATATTTTGACCTTTGAAAAAAAATAGTAGTGCATATCAACTTTACATTCTACGATATAAATTTTTACGAATCTTCATAGTAAAAGTGGTACAGGTTTAGCCGTAAAAGGAGTTCCTATGGGAAATTGCATTGTCTATATTTAAAGTTGTGCAACCTATAGGGAAAACGGTAGTATTTATTCTGCCAATGTCGACAATACTAACATTTTACCACCTTTTATAATAAAAACCTGGACAAAAATGTTATGTCTGGCAATAGTACTTTATAATTCTGTTGAAGAAATTGTAGTCAAAAAGTATCATGACCATGCTAGAACGGAGCTTTATGCTAGCTCACCGTCATTTTACACCAAATGTATGAAAATTTGGAAGTCTTTCCGAATAATTCTCAAGAAAATATGTCAGTGGGTTTCAAAATTTATATTACAAATATACACACTGCAGTTATTCATAGATAAATAGAAAGATATATTGTACCTTTACATCCAATCACAGCCCTCCTAAGTTGACCTCCTTTACCTGCCTTGGGTACACAAAAGGCCAACCTTAAGCCGGGAAAATATAATACTACTTTTTACTAATATTGTCTGAGGAGACGGTAATAACCGAACTGGATTGAAATTATTCTCCTTTCAGTTGAAAGAGAAAAAAAAAAGAATTTGAAGTTATTCCGCTTAATTGTACTATGACATGCTAATAATTTGGCGGCGTAATACGTTTATAATTACATTTATTTGTCTAATTAATTAACAATCAATATATCAATATTATCCAACATATGCTAGAAATCAGGACTCTCGGTCATAAATCTTTACTCAGTACTCTGATTACTTGGAGTACAAATTTGTGCTCGAAACATAAAATCTGTATTTTGATTGGTTGACTCCTGAGTCATAGTACGATAATCGTGCTCGAAATTTTTATGACTGGAAGGCCAGATGATCGATGGAAATGACTGGCTCTACACTAATACGATAAATAAATGTGGTTTCAGACTAGCAATCACCGTACGTTTTTTGAACCCCAAGATAATAAGCTTTATATTTAACCCTAACTGAAATTAATTTTTTTTTGTAATAAAACTATATATTTCAATTTTCCACTATATTTTAGAAAAAAGTCAAAAGGCCCGATAAATATCAATTCAACATATTTCATATTGGATGTTGCACAATTTGCAACCAATAAAAAACCGGGTTTTTTTTGCAAATAAATACTTGTGGTAATGTGATAAGTAAGAATAATTTCCATTTTGGAATAGAAACTAATTAAAATGAACCCACCGAAGTGGTGGTTGATGGGGTGTTGTTGTTTTAAACTTTAAAAACAACTATTTTTATGGCTTATCATTAATTATTGAATATTATTTTGTAGTTAGTGTCTAATGGCGACATCCTCTCAAAGTTGTGGAGTTTGTGACCTTCGTCATATCACCAAACCATCCATAGTCTGGTGTACAACATGTGACGCAGGACTATGTACAGAATGCCAGAAGCATCATGATTTGTCTAAAGCATCGAGGAAGCATAATGTGATACCAATTTTTGAAAACCAGATATTACCATCTGATGTTATGAAAATTACTCCATTTTGTTGCAAACACGATGAAAAGTTTCAGATTTATTGCAAGAAGCATGAATGTCCCTGTTGCAGCAAGTGCATATTGGGCAGCCATAAAGAATGCCGGGATATCGTAAATTTAGATGACGCCATACATAATGTCAAAACCTCCAATGCCCTGTGCGAGATAGAGGAAACATTAGTTGAAGTCGCAGAAAATCTACAGAAAATTCGCCAGCATAAACAGGACAATCGGTCGACTTTGAGAGAAAAAATAATGGAAATAGAAAAAGAAATAAAGAAGACCAGAATGAAGATCAACAATCATCTCGACAAACTACAAAACAATTTAATGAAACCACTCTATGAGGTCGAAGAAAAAGAAAACTCGAAAATTTGTCAGTTATTGTCATCATTAGAGATCAAAGAAAAAGAAGTAGCAGAATGCCAGAGAAACATTACGAACATCAAGCAACATGCAACGGACCTTCAGATGTTTCTTTTTATGAAGCATATAGAAGATGAGGTCTATAGCAAAGATAAATTTCTGCAATCGCTTGTAGAAAGCGGAGGACAACTTTCTCTTGCATATAAGACCAACACCTCTATCAAGTATATCAAGTCCTGTATAAACAGTTTAGGAGAAGTGCAAATTGAAGCTAAACCTTACGATATTGTTCTGATTAAGAAAAAGGCCAAACAAGCCCAAATGATGATACAAACCGCTCAATTAAGATCCATTGAAAATATAAAGCTAACGTTATACAATACCATTGGCACTAAAGGAGAACGCATATACGGATGTTGCATGCTGCCGGATGGTAGAATGGCATTTACGTTCTTCAATGAAGAGACAGTAAAATTATTCAACGAGAAAGGATTAAAAGACTTTGAGGTGAAGTTGCCCGCTGAAGCGTTTGATTTGGTATACATCAATGAGGACAATACATTGGCTGTTACATCTGGTCCGTCAATAAATCAGTGTATTGTCATTGTAGATTTGGTGAAGAAACAAATAAAAAAAACAATTTCACTTGATTCGTGCAATTATGGCATAGCACTGAATGATAATCGATTGATTTATTCCGGTGGAGACAAAGGTATACGAATGATTAATCTGTACGACGAGTCTACGAGCGAAATAGTAGGAGACATAATGCCCAATTACTGTTACACTGCAACATTTAAGGACAAAATATATCATACAAACATAAAAACAAATACAGTTACGTGTTATAATCTACAAGGTGACCTGCAATGGACATTCAGGAAAGGAATTCTGAAGAATCCTAAGGGTATTGATGTAGATAACGATGGTAATGTGTATGTGGTGGGGAGTGATTCAAACAACATTGTAGTTATCTCCCCTGATGGAAAAAGCCATAGAGAAGTATTGTCAAAAGGTGATGGTCTTAGAGATCCTATCGGTATGTCACTCCATTATAGTGGTTCAAAGTATCAGTTGCTAGTTGCAAACATGAAATACAAGGCTCATTTGTTTAGTTTTTTTTAAAGGTTTATGTTGAAAATACGCTTTCATTAGATCATTATGTGAGATGTTTCATTGATAATAACTGGAACACATAAACTGTTTTGTTTATTTTGTCAATTATATATTAGTATGTGTTTGTTTGAAACACAAGGTGTGCACTCAATGGAATAAGTAAGCAAAGCAATAACCCACAACAAAGACTCTTATTTGTACATAATACTATAAATATTAATGAATATCATTGTTTTGATTTATCTGTATTTTTTTATGTTTTCAAAAAAAATATGACACTGTCTGCATCAGCAGAACTCTGATTGATATTATGAAAAAGTTCTAGATTGAAAGGATCAGTCTAGGATCGCAAACTTCTTGATCAGGTATACGGTTTGTACTTTGATTGTTATCTTAATTAGTTTCGTAGAATATGAACACCAGTATTCAAATGAAAAATCAATTCCATTGGTCTCCAATTCGAGATATCTTCATAGAAATCATGATGTGTAGTAGTAAACGTATGGCTTACGTTCTCGTATTACATCAAAGAAAAAACTTATTCGTTATTAAAAGGAAGGGCCTCGCCGGTAATGTTATAATAAAAAACGTCAAAAGACGCATCGAAATACATACAAGTCATGCACAAAGAATCCAGTTTTCAATGATTTAAAAACTTGATGTTTTTGAAAAGAATGCCCGCCTGACATTTTCTATCGCAGCAACATAAGGATAAGATTATCAAAAAGACATTCACATGTATAAATACGGTCTTTAACTATAGACTGATGTTATTTCTTTACATCAAACACTTAATTATCCCCAGTGATTCGAAAACGAAAACTTTATTCAAAAGAGATAATCAATGACCTATCATCAACATTAATGTCTCCTATTAATAAAAACCTTCAAATATGTCAAAAGACAGTTACGGACGAGATTCTTGGTTAGACAGGCACATTTTAATACGCGGAGCACACCTGCATTTCATAATGATTTATTTACCAGGACCAAATATTACTGTTTGATTTTTCTGAAAATTTAATACTCTTTTTCGTTGTATAATCTTTTAAGATTTTTTTTTTTTTTGTTGTTCTTAGGATTGGTATTTTTTTGTTGTTCTTATTTTTTTTTTATATTATTCTATCATATTTGGCTTCGTTAAAACATGAGGCATTATGGTACACCATGTGGTCATTAACAAATGATATTTCAAAATGCTATGGCTTAGAAAGAAAAACAACATGTCAAATATCATGACCGTGATTTAGAGAATCTATTCAAATGAAGTCGTTTTAAAGAGCAAAGAATAAAGCAAACGGATTTTTTACTACTACACTAATCTTTTGACACAAAATTAAATCATTGTTTGTTAATGAAACATCATCATTTGGTTATCCTAATATAATTCTATAGTTTTATACATTGTTGTAGGACGTCACACAAAGGTTATAGATATAGCATAAAATTAATATTCCTAAACTAAGTTTTACTACAGCATAAGCATGTTCAAAATTTGAAGATCTCCTTCTAGAATTACGGGAAATGGCTAGGCGAATACCGTCGGTGTCACATGATCGACAAGATAACGATGGTAAGACGGTATAAATGGTTCTTTTTTAATATAAATTTGGTGAGATACATAAGATATAAATTCTTTCAGTTATCAAATGAATAACGGATATTTCTTCTATCTTTAAGGAGGTAGACATAGATTAAGGGAAATAACTTTTAAAATCATCAGCACGTTTTTGTCAACCATTTTCATAAATATATTTTAAGCTTCTATGTTACATAGATTATTTCCAATCTGTTTCAGGTAAATGCTTAAAATACATTGATGAAACTTGACTTTTACAAACGCATAACTGATTTAACTTATCTCCCTGAACCCCCTTAATTAAAAAGTTTGGATTGTAGAGCATTTCGGGTTCAGGAGAAGTAAACGCATTTATCAATCAGATTGTTTTTTTTTTATATTTTAAATACATATCAATAGTGCCAATTACTTAAAATGGCATGTAAAACAAAAACCCCACGCCCACGTTACCATTCGAGCAGCTATCAAAGATCATTAGCTATATCTGACAATGATTTGAATAGATGTAAATAAAATTAGAAAATATCAAATTCTTTAAAATCTTAAAAAAAAACTTGTATAAACATATGGAGATTTGGTACAATTGGTAATGAGACAAATATTCACCCAAGTTCGAATGAAGTGAATGAAAGCGATTATAGGCATCCGTACGGCCTTCAACAATGAGAAAAAACCATACTGTATAACCGATAAGAAAAATATGAATCAATTCAATTGAGAAAACTAACGGCCGGATTTATAACAAAACAATTTACGAAAAACAAATATGACATACATAAACCAACGACAACCACTGAACTACATGCTCCTTACTTGGGACAGGCACATACAGAATGTGGCGCGGTTAAACATATTTGTGAGCGCTCAATCATCTCCTAACATGGGACAGTGGTGTTACAGCACAACATAAGAACAAACTATAAAAATTAGTTGAAAGGGGCTTAACTCATCAGGTCGATACACCACAGAAAAAAACATCTAACAAAAACACAGACCGGACTTGGAAGGGTTTTTATACTTCCCTTAACAAGAAAAAAGACACTTCTTTTGTTGCTCATTTATTTACCTTACATATACGTTAAAATATTATTTTTTGAAACATGGTACAAATATTCACCTACAATACCCATATCTGCGTTCGTTCAACATGTACTTCTCATAGAAATATTGCCGATTTCACGTTTAAATGTTATGATGCTTACCTTTTAAGAGCGTGTTAAATTCAGAGGAATTCTCGTAATTCTGTGCATGTATATTACGGATTTCTCACAATTAGTATTGGTTCCTATTAAACCACAAATTTGTTACGATTATAAAGGAGACAAACAGTGTGTCTTGAAAATACACTTTAAATTAGTTTCATCGAATAAAGTGTGCATCAATACACAGTAGTACATTATGCCCTTAATTATAGATAAGAAGATGTGGCATGACTGCCAATGAGACAACTCTCCATCCAAGTAACAATGCATAAAAAGTTAACAATTTTAGGTCAAGGTACGGCCTTCAACACGGAGCCTTGTCTAACACCAAACAGCAAGCTATCCAGGGCCCTAAAATGACTAGTGTAAAACAATTATAACAGGAAAACCAACGGTCTAATCTATATAAAAAACGAGAAATGAGAAACACCTATAAACCACTCTAACAAACGACAACCACTGAACAATAGGCTCCCGACTTAGGATAGGTGCATAAAAATGCAGCGGGTTTTAGCGTTTTAACAGGCACCAACCTTCACCCTAAAAGTGTAATATCACAATATAAAAAGAGACACTATAAATTGAAATATCAATTGAAATGGCTTAACTCGATCAAAAAGACATTTAAACAAAAACAAGTAAACATACACTGAACGAATAAGTTTGGCCTATGACACTATATAAATACCATATTAAAACGTAGGTGCCTATATAACATAGACGTTACAGGTAGTGATAAAAAAGATGTAGGAACAGTGTCAAAAGGACAACTCTAACCTGGGACAAAATGACGTTAAATAAAACAACGTACACAGGTTAATTTAAATGTAATATTTTTTTTGTTAGGAGTACGGAAGTAAACATTTTTATACAAAATTAATAATAAATTTGTTTTTCAGAGTACAGAAGTGAAAATTTGTCGTCATACTAAATACTTATCGAAGGTGGTGCATATTAAATATAGTGATACGAGATATAACACAAAATAAGCAAACATTGAATTACAGAAATGCATTACAAATTGTGTCAACAGGTCAAATTAGCATGAAAGTGTGATTAGAGAGTACTCGAAGTTACTGAAAGCTAGTTAAAAGCCGGAAACAATTAGCAATAAAAAGTCATGTATCAGAGACTAAAATCAATTAAAACACATCCGAGAGATTTAGTGTTTTTCCGCCATGGACGGTCAAAGACGACATGATTTGTACAATACCAAAATAAAAGTATCGACAACCACAGGATCGTTAGGATTTAACCTTATAATAAATATGTATCATGTTACATATAGATAAAGCAATCCCTAAATAGAAAATTAACGTGGATGTGTATTTATACATCCCAAAAACCATTCGAAAAAAATACAAATTTAGTTATGTTTTAATTGTTGATTACAAAATTGATGTTAGTGCCAATGTAAATTTTTACACGGATTTTCCGCGCTTTTAGTACAGTATTACCGTAAAATTTGAAATATCGTTTTTAATAAGAAAACACGCTTCACAGGGCAACATTTGGCAGGAATCAACTTTCAAAAGATGCTTGATTAATTGATCGATGTTTACTTAACGTTCAGCGGCAAATATTTCATTCATAATTAGGACAATCATTCAAAGGAAATAACAACTACAAGATATAACAACTGATAGTTTCAGTCATATAAGTATTTGACATCAATGATTAGCCTTATGATAAATTTTGCAGAAAAATCAACAAGTACATATTTTGACATTTTCAGTACTTTTACCTAAGTTTATGTAATGTGCGTTTTAATTAAGCCTCTAATGGTTTTCAAGATATTAATAAGTAAATTACTTGTATTTTACTACTTGTAATCTATTTCAACCATGTGGTAATTTTAACTATTTAGCAATAACTGTTGACTACGAATGATTAAAAAATTGTAATAATTTCGACTGTTCTCACCGGACTAGTATTTGGAATAAGGAGGTATATATTTTATATTTCTCTCTTGTAAAAGGATATAATTAAAATCTGTTATTATATACTAAAACATTGTGTAAAAGTTTGATTTAGATAAGACTTCGTTATTGAAATATGTCTATTATGTAATTTTCACTTTATAATTTGTATTTTCAATAAAAGGTATATGAAAATTTGAAGCAATCAAATCTGCAATTAAATAACAAAGCAGTTCTTACAAAATGATTTTCTAACCGTACTTTTCTAAAAATTTAAATTTGATAATTGAAAGATGAATTTGACAACTGAATTATTTATTCAATACGAAAATAGTAAATAAGTACGTGTAAAGCCTGCTACTTATATATGATTTTAAAGACAAACACATTTAGTTTATTCGAAAAATTATAGGTCTTTTTAAGAACGTGAGACGAAAAAGCTGCAGTGGTTGGGCCCCTTTTCGCCAATAATTCCGGTCTTTCTTAATTAGCGTCTCTTCCTTTATGCTAATAAATTCATAGCGGAATAGCTTACAGTTTGATTGTACTGTCGCTTTTATATATTTTAAGGATCAGCCTTTCAGGAACACTTGTAAATGAAGTATATACAACTCCCATGGACCAGTTGATACAATATTCAAGGTCTTGCTTTTCCGTTCTTATTCATTGTTAAATGGCTGGTACTTCGAAAAAATCTTTTGAACCAACTGTTTTTATTTTTAAAGTTAGAGTAATTTTTTTGAAAGTTTTAATGACACAATGATCATGATTATATTTTCCATTTGTCGTTCTAGCAACAATCACATCCTCGTTTAAAACATACGTCACTGAATGCAATTCGCCATCGTTTTTTTTTTCTTTCTTTTGACCACATTCTATTGGCTGTCGGTTTTCAAATAATGATTTATATTTTTAAGTATGCAATTGAAATCATTTTTGAGAGAGAGAGAGAGAGAGAGAGAGAGAGAGAGAGAGAGAGAGAGAGAGAGAGAGAGAGAGAGAGAGAGAGAGAGAGAGAGAGAGAGAGAGAGAGTTTTTCGACTTATGAATTTGAATATTCCTTTGGTATCGTTGGCCTGCCGTTTTCTTAACTTGAATAAAATGACACAGAGTAATAAATAAAACTTTTGAATCATAAGATATAAACAAAATTACGGACAATATTCAGCGGAAATATATGCCCAGGAGACGGAATATCTAACTTGCCTCCTCTGCTAACACTGTATTGAGTAACAATCTTTATTTACGATCAATTTTCGAGCACAGCATGAAGAAATCATAAACAAAGTCAGGTATGTTTAATATGTATTGTTCCATTATCCTTTCAATCACAGGCTCCTTATTTGGTACTTATGATGCACAATCGTACTACACAGTTAATAGTGACAGATGTCTAACTGAACATTTCCTTTTATGACTTTATCTAAGGCATCACAAAATTTGCTCGATAGCTGTAATCAGTACAATAGTTTATATCTCGAACACTGAAATGTAAACCCTCAAAACAGTGAAATTATATCTTATTATCCATGTCTACTACTTACTGCAAACTTGTCAAAAACTGACACCAATCCTGGCCCCATAACTCCAAATTGGCAAAGTTGTAAATTCAATTAAGCAGTAACTTCTAAGCATAAAGCTGTGTGTTGCGATTATTGTGATATGTGGTATCATATAGACTGCCAAAATATACTTTCTAAAATAAACGAATGCTTTAATGTCAGAAACATCAACTGGGAATGTATACAAATTGGAATGTCCAACATTTCCAATTCTATTTTCAGCAACAAACCAATTGCATACACAAACAAAATAAATAGCTTGGATACGTTAAGTGAAAAAAATGATACTAACAAAATGATACAAAATGTATCGAATATCATATTATTACCACCTAACTATAAATAGTACACAATACAAAAATCTATAAGTAAACAAATGTATCAAAATAAAAACCCAAGCTGGCAATGCGGTACTTGCCAAAGAGCAGTAACTTTAAACAAGTTCCCGGGACCTCGACTGGTCACCAAAAGCGTTTGGCTGTTGATTTGATAATGGACTATGAGTAGAATGAGGTGATGATGATGATAAAACACCTTTATTGAAAACATGTAATTGTGTAAAGATTCTTGCACAAGTCAATTAAAAGCACTGCTGGTTTTAAGTTGTAAATAGAAAAGTGACTATTTTATCCTATTGAAATTCCTAGTTTCTGCAAACCGGATATATTTGAGGCAAATCGAAATATCATTTTCAGCACTCAGTTTGCTTTATAATTTGAACATTCACATTTTGTTTCTTGAATGCCTTCAATTATTCATTTTCTCATTATTGTAGCTGTACACACAAGGTAGAGGTGGTATAGAGACATTGAAAGTCCAATTTCCATGTGAAGTGTATCTCTGTGTCATTCAACTTATCAGAATGTTTCGTAAATTATTCTTGAGAGAAACACACCAGCTGCATTAGGACCTCTTACATACTGACATTTTTTTTTTGGTCTTATAAAACATCTAAAATTTAAGGGTTTCATGAAGTTACTTAAATAAATCCAAATATTCTACAGGAAAAACATATTTTTGAAGAAATTCTTGTTTTCAGAAGTTTTATGAATACTTAAAGATGCTTTCAAAAATCAATTTGTATTAAAAGATATGTTTGACAAATTCAACTCATCATAGATACCAGAATTAAAATTATGTACGCCAGACGTGCGTTTCGTCTACAAAAGACTTATCAGTAACTCTTATATTGGGACATAAGTTATTGCCAGTATATTATTTCCAGGTTGATTGGCACAAAGTATAATAGCATATTATGTATTAAATACTACACACATACAACGCGTACAGGGACTGTCTCAAAACATAAATTATATAATTGTGTTAGGCCACGCCAATTTAATTTCTAGTTCTACGGATTTTTCCACTCCAGAAATTGGGGCGAGCGAGCGATTTGAAAATCTTAATAAAAAAAAAATTAATTTGCAATTTTTTTAGGCGAAGCTTGAAAAGTAAAGGCGAGCGATTATATTTTTTTTTGTAAACATAAAATCATAGGTTCTGACAATATTGATCAAAACAAGATGGTACGAAACTTGATTTACCACTTGTACTTTGACATTTCTTTAATTTATGAACTGCTGAACTGTTTTTTTTCCTGTTCACCAAGACATGTAATGCCCACTTTTAATTGAAGCATATTTATGACTTCGTGTATAACTGTTACTTTCTGGACATCACATCTTGAACTGAATAATTGTATAATTATTTCAACTGCCTTAAATGATCTCAATTGAATTGTCATAGATGTCTTTCCTCATTCACCGGACATGACTTATAACTAGCAACACGTCGGGTGTCTTGCAAGAACAGGAACTGCTCATCCTTCCGGAACACCTGAGTTCAGTGGTATTAGTTGATGAGTGTACTTTTTAGTTTTTTGTGTTATATGCTGGTTGTCTGTGTCTCCGTCCTTTTAGTGTTATCATTTTTGTTCTTTGTCTTTTTGGCACTTTGAATATAAATAATGTGGTATGAGTGCCAATAAGACAACTCTCCATCCAAGTCAAAATGTATTTAAAGTACAAATTATAGGTCAAAGTACGGCCTCAACACGGAGCCTTGGCTCACACCGAACAGCAAGCTATAAAGGACCCAAAAATGATTGTGTGAAACAATTCACACAGGAAAACCAACGGTCTAATCTATATACTAAACGAGAAACACCTATGAACCACACCAACAAACGACAACTACTCAACAACAAGCTCCTGACTTAAGACAGGTGCATAAAACTTCCGCCGGTAAACGATATTGCAGTTGAAGGCACTTATCCTCCTTCTGCGTCCTTTATTCTAACAACGAAAATCGGCATGATTTTGTGAAGGATCGTCCTTGACTTTGATAAGAAATCTGTGTTAATGCTCGAATCAGTTTAAAGGGTCGCGATTTGACGTTGACTAAAACGCTCTGACGATCGCTTTTTTTTTTAATGATTTACAAAAAAAACCGGCGCGGGTAATAGTCACTTTTACTTTTCCGGATGCGGGAAGCGGGAAATATTTAAAAAAAAAAATTTTCCGTTTATGAAAAAATATGTGCGGTATTAAATTGGCGTGGCCTTATCATTATACTTGATATTTAACAAACATTAACATCAGAACACATATGTATATATATCAAAAGTCAAATAAGTTAATGAATAGAAATATTTTTACTGCAACCTAGCCTTTTTTGCTTTTTTAATTTCTGATCTTTAATTGTTGGCATATACAATATGTCACGTGGTATCCTATCGACAGCGGGATCGTATCAAAACATAGATAACTACCTCTTTAAATGATCGAATATTTTCGAGACGTTTCGAGAATCTTGTTTCAGAAGTTATCTTAATGGCCCATAGAAGCTAATATTTAATAAGCAACAACATGTAGAACTATCACTGAGTAGAATCGGGCATTCCTCAACCACTAATATCGTGCCTTTAAAGAGAGTCAGAAGATACCGAAGGTGGAGAACGAACTGACAATGCCATTGCAAAAAAATGAAAACAACAGTCTACAAAACACAAATAGAAAACTAGAGACTGAGCACGAGCCCCAACAAAAACCGTGGGATAGTAAGACGAACCTTCTATGCATGTGACACCAGTCGTTTGGCTCATATAAGTAAAACAATGTACAAGACCGGTCATAATTCTAATTCGGTAGGTCACATTCGAGGAAAATAGGACGGGATTGTTATACGGCTAATTTTCATTAAAATTTTTAGTACGGAATAACTTATCTAGGAAACGAAGTCTGAGGACACATATAACAATTGGACTAAATTTACTACTACATAGTAACAGTAAAATAGTTAAACCTCTTAATAAAGTCATGTGTTGTAGCTTTCTAAACAATTGAGAAAGTGAATATTTAAATATTTCATGAGTCGAAAACACTTCATGAAACTATATTCTAAAATTTAGGGTCAAATCGTGTTTTTGTACAGTTGTATAGATTAACATTGAATCATTGAATTCAAAGTGAGTATTTTAAATCGAAGTTGATGATATCTTTCTATTCTGTGCTATCAAAAGAGTGGGAACATTGATAA